ACCTGCTTCGGTTTGGGCAACCGGGCAGTATCAAAGCCTTCACACATCGAATAAGATTTGTGTGGCGCATATGTATTTGGTGCCTCCTTGTACCAATATCTATGTGTTAAAATAATAATAATAATTCATTTGAAGAACTATGAAATATCTGACTTAAACTGAAATTTTTACCCTATTTTAAGTGATACACACTAGTTGTACGTCCCAAAGAACCTGATCAATGTTCCACTAAAGTGTAAATTATAGTTATTCTGAGTAGCTAATTAGTAGAATAATGGATGGAAATATTTCAATTTAACTTAAAGACAGACAAATAATTACGGTCATTACCGACCGATCTTTGGGTATTCAACTGTTAATAAAAATGCGTGACTACTGACTCCATAATGAGTAGTTTGGCAAGTAATTAATTTATTTTAGACATCGATATAAGATATGGCTAGGAAAGATTTGAAGAATATTTATGGATGAATACTCATCGAAATAGCGTATATAAAAATGTTAAAAATAGTACAAACCTAACGACGAAAATGTTCATAAAACAGCTCATATATCCATATAAGATTATTGATAATTAAACCGTAGTTATTGAGGTCTTGGTATAAATATACAACAGAGAAACTTAATTGCGATTCATCAGGAAGATAATTAGAAAGGAAGAAGCTTCTTAAATTGATACTGCATTATGGTCCTATAATACCTTCGATTTAGTCACCAACCCACACTTACATAGATGGATATCATCCCGGTACGTAGAACAAACATATTTCAACCATCATAAGTCACATTGACACCCAAATGGAAATGCCATATAATATGTTCTAATTCACCAGAACAAACGCATATTTCACCTCAATTTAATTATAGTGTTAGTTGGTAAGTATCGAGAGTTCATACTTGGCTAAATAGATACAACCATATTTAATTATTCTTCTATCTTCTTCTCTTCCTACTTCACACTCGGCTAAAGTAGTAAGATTACCAAACAAATTTTCCAGATTAGTAGGAACTCACCATCTATAGGTATTGATGCTTACATCAGAGCAGCACATTGAATGCATAAATCCAAAAAAGGTTCTATCTATCTATCTGTCTGACTGTCAATTTTTACTATTTCCATGAAATGAGAACAGTGTAACATCGTTAGTGTTCCTAACATCTACCAGGTTATTCTCAACCACCTGGTGTAAAATGCACATACATAAGTTGTTCCATGTGCATGGTCCTATTTCTAGTTTAGAAGTTCTTGTTTACTCGTAAGAGTTTTATAAAAACTGTAAATTCTGTACTCGATTTATTTTAATCCGTTGTAGACTATTGTAAGTAGTAAATGTGTTTATCACTAGTTATTTTGCGCAAATAATATTGTCCATGATGTGATTTCGTTATTGTGCAAATCGATCATCATCACCATCAGCTGCATGTTTATGGATTCCGATATACATCGACGTTCCATAGTGATGCAAGCCTAGGTGTCGTGTAGATTATCAGTGTTGTTTCATCGGAAAGAGTCTCTCTGACAGTGAATAGTGTCTAAATGTACGTGGTTTTATTGCTGGTACTCTCGTATGTAACGTACATTTTGAAAGATTCGCAAACTTAGAGGATTGAGTGCGAATCCTTCAGTCCTGCATATTTCCCATTGTACCAACAATGCACAAATATATAACTCGAAACTAAAGTCAATATTGATTTCCATGTTTTTAACATTATCATACTTTTCCACTTCTAACATTTTGTGAGTGATTAGATCCAATATATGTTTCAAGACAACAGCTCGAACAAATGTCCATACAGTTTCATGCAAGAATTTCATAGGATATTTATAGAATATACAAGATCATCTAACTAAGAAATACTGAGTGAATGTAAACTTCACCCCATTGAACAAGCAAGTGGCTATCAGAACTCAGTAAATAGGTGGATAACGCGATGGCTTTTGAAGCGAATGGTACTGGGTTCGGGTCTCAGAGTTAACATCAACTGTGGGATGCATATACATCCATCTGACGAGTCCCAAGTAAGATAAATCGCGCGTCCTGGATTCCACTGTTAGCCGCTATCCACCCTTGCTTATAATGCTAGTGAATTAACGCAATAACGAGGCATTCCTCACAGTATACACATATGACAATGAGGCAGAGCCAGTAGGATGTCTCAAACTGAATAAATGTATGCTTATGTCAGAGCCTATGCAACAATATCATTAAAAGTCAATGCTGTCTCAGTTAATAAACACAGGAATAAAAAGCTAGATAAAATCTCATCATTGCGTACAGTAACAGTGAACCTAAAGGATTTTTTTCATTTCGTTCTACTAAACAAAACGAAACTAAAACACAGCGGGTTGATTTAATCAAGCGTGTTACGTTCAATGTTCAGCCATTCCTCTGGCCATGCATTCAATATTCGTTGGTTCAGCATAACGATCACTCACCCTGATTGCGATAAACAATTTTTAGTATTTTCTTAATGGGTGCTCCACTTGCTTTTTTATCGCCGGTTTTAGTCTCATTTTACACGTGACTCGCATAATTTGCCGATGAATTAATCGTTCTCTCATTCCTATACCCTATAAACAAGTGTCTATTGTCGCCAGGTCTACCTCCCCATTAAGACGCATGTATTCTAACTCTATGATTCACAATGGTTCAAGTGTGACTTTGCAGTTAACCGTTATCTCCTACATTTGAGTATTATGGATGAATCCATTATTATCCTGGGAGATGGACATGTGAGAACACCTTGTGTTGTGTAGTGGAAACATCGCTCGGATTCAGCCGCGTCAGTAAAGCCTTCAAGAAACAATATTGTGAAATTGCTCAACTTACAAAGTAGTTAACGCTAGGTAAACTAATAACGGTGAGTATTGAAAAAAAATTATTCCGTTTTATATCACTCTTCAAAAAATGACCAATATCTGTCCATTTCATTAGACGAAACAGAATCAAAAAGTGTTTAATGTTAAAAAACCACTGTGCCGTAAATGATATTCTCCCGAATAAGTAACTACTTGTAGTAAAGTCCAATTGGAATTTTTCAAAAATAATTTCCTGTATATGTTTTTGCACATATGATTGAATTTATTTGACCTCCTGTCTGGTTATGTGGATCAATAATGGTTTGACCATAATTCTATTATTGTTATGTATCTCGCTTAAATTGTATTAATCGGTGTGATTATTATCAGAAGGGGGTTTTGTGGAGATTTTAGTAATTTCAATTATTAAGATCATGCGTCAATTGAAGCTAGATCATCATGGAAAATCTGGAAGCACTGGACGGCCGTTTCGTCCTATTGCGGGACTCCTCAGTAGTGCGCATCCACGATCCCGCCTCGCCGGATTCGAACCCAGTGTGATTATAATTTGCACCCGTTAATGTTAACAGAACAATCAGCTCAACTGAGACAAAGAATAATCCAGGGTTTCCTGTTGACTACCTCCAACCACCATCTAATCTCAATACATAGTGCCCGCACTGTCGAGTCACCTAGACTGATGGCCACATTGCAACATGATCGATAGCATTCAATCTGCACTGATAGGGACTAGACAAGCATGACATTGATCACCACCCAGTGATCAATCAATTGTGATTACAAAGAATAATCGCTAGATTTGGGAAAAACGTCAACCGATACCAAATTAACAATCGATGTCTAGTTCCACACTTTTGGTGGTACGAAGACTTGAGGTAGTCTCATTTTGTGCTCACTTGAGCAATCAGCATAATTGATGTTTTGTTTAGTTAGCATTAGTTACGATTGTTGGCTGTCCGCTTTTAAATCTGCTTGCATTGTCAGATACAATATATTTATCTCTTTATTAAAAAATAACTGCCTGTTCAATTTTTACGACCATCTCTAACATCTTAAAATGACACGGTATATAGAAGCCACTGAAATGTAATATATAAAAAACCTGATCAAACTGACTAAATTCGTGTTTCGAGATCAAGACACTTATGGAACTTCCATTTCTGCTATAGATGAACAGAAGCGCTGCACACAAGGTTTCGCCATTGAATATTTCAAATGGTTATAAGCTACTGTTGTAGTGAGCGAGAACTCAGGTGGGAAAAACCAATGTAGAATTTCACAGTACTTTTATAAACTATGAAAATCAAACATTAAGTACATTATATGCACATCTCATACCAGTTGTCCTTTACATACTTCATGATTCTTCCGATTATGTTTTTATTCTAATTACTCTGTCTCCCTTCCTACCCTCTTCAATTCAATCTTCTGCTGGCAGTCATTCCACCTCCGACCGCTGATACATACTGTCAGCATAAGCAGCATACACTACACTCTGGCCCTTAACATATGTACATTTGATTCATCTGATAAACCACCAGCGATCGCACGACTATTCAGAACACAAACCTCTTGACCATTTAAAAAAATTTATAATCAGGAGGGCTGGCAGATACAGTCTCTCCCCATCATTGTAGGGATATTTTTCATTTAATGGTTCAAAGTACATTCCAACTAATCTCACAATTCAAATCAGATATACCACTGTTCAGGCAGGCAAACAGTATCAAATTTAAATAGAGCAAGAACAAACATTGATGCAGAATAGTATGAATTCATATTATTTCGAGGTTTCTCGTCAAATTTGTAAGCATAATATTCGAATATCAAGTAATTTCGTTAGACTTTAGGTAAATCTGACTTCTTCTTTATTGTCACGATTATTAACTGTGGTCAAATAAGCAAACTCAGTTGCAATATAACTACAAAACATTTCGCGCTGTGAACCATTATCAAATCCCTATTGTCATATAAGTCATATCACCTTGACATTTTTCACTGAATATAACCATTAATACCATAAAATGGAATATCGGACATACGATTCTGCCTGATGAGATTGTTTTATTCGTCAGAACAAAACAGAACAACAGTCAAACATCACCTCTTACGTCATAATAGGAAACCTGTTCTACTGACTAAAATTATGATATACCAATTATTCTTTCAAAAACAACGATTAAATGGCGCATAGAATACATAATATTATCATATTTCAATGTGATAGAAAATATTAGTTAAATAAGCGTTAGTAAAGTTTCTGATCAGTGATTGGAAAATCATTTATAAACAATAAACGGATTAGATTTTTAAAAATATATGAAGGAGAAGGATTTCCAACTGAGCAAGGTAGGTTTTCAAGTTGAACTCAATAGTTTTCGAATTTCCATTCTTTCATATTGAAACGCATGAATATTTTCCCGTTTTTCTGGAAGAAAATAAAATAAAAAGAATGGATTTATTTAGATGAGGTGTAGTGACAATGTAGAGAAGTTATCAATTCAAATGATATTTTCGCACGTCAATCAATGTAAGTATAGGAAGTCAAAACTACTGCTCTGACAAACTCCAGAAATTGTAAATACACAAACACATAAAATATTCACAACACTTTTTTCCCACTAGATGTGAATTGGAAACAATCAACAAAATACACTTTACAGTTTAACTGCAACTGGATTTCATTACCAAACACCTAATCAGATTCCATAATAGTGGAACAGGCTAAATATACCACATACAGATGCTTATTACTCGAAAATATACTTTAGGCGCTTTACTTAGTCGACTATGCTTGCGGTTCAGATGGCAACCGACTCCGGAAGTTTTGAACTCTTTTGTATCTGTATCTCATAAATATTGATGGAGTTTCATGTGCAAGTGGACAAGTCCTCTAGAGAAACAACCAGAGATTATGATAGTTAGCTCCTCATCTAAAACATACTAACATTGTTTACAAATGAAACATTGCATTTTATTCTGGTCTCCTTTAGTCATAACGATAATATCTAATGTGTAATCGTGTAATACAAAATTGTTCGTTTAATCGAGTACGATGCAACTTTGAGATTAGCTAACCTGGATAGAACACAGAATGAACTGATATTTCATATTCTTACTGGATAACAATTTCACTTTCAAATATTTACTTAAATTTATGGAATTTCAACTAGAATTCAAAGGGAAACTAAACAAGCAACCAAAAATATCAACTAGTCAATATACGAACAACATACTTTGGTTTCTCAGGCTTTACAGTGATCGATCCACGACTAACATTGTGCTACAGTAACGAAGATAAACAATATGCGTGTATACAAATTCATGATTATATTCAAGTATGTATTACAAAATTAACTGGACATTTAATTACAAAGCCGAACTTCTTCCGAATGGGAGAGTGATGTTCCTAACTGGAATAAGTATACACATACGACTGAGCTAATAAGAGTATCAAAGTAAATGATGTGGTAAAGGCTCCTTATTGCTTCAGTTAATAGTGTCACTCTAAGCATAGATGTAGACTAGTTTCAAAGTACTATTGCTTAAATATACACAGTTCGGTAATGTAATGTGAATTGTTTGCGATCTTTACACTAACAGATACTATAACTAATCTTACTGATCAACAGTCAAGTATTACCAAACATTTTTCTCGAGTTACCACTTGACTAAAGGTGAAGGGTTCGTCAATACACCTGCAACTTTGAAGTTACGTTTCAACATGTATTTTAAAAGTCCCAGCGAGTACTACGCAAATGTAGACTAGTCAATTTAATCACTGATTCACATGTTTTCATGATAGTCCTATTGGTCAGTGACCTCCCAAGTTTAGGTTACCCAATTAATCTAGGTGACTGCCTTCTGTTACATGAAACTGCTTCCATTTCGATTACCAAAACATAACTACAGCAAAACGTTACTACAGTTTACTTACTGAAATGAGAATTCAGAAAGGGTCAACTAGGTACTTTCATACAAAGCTTTGTCTATCTACTTCAATGCTGCCCTCTCCACTACGAGCACCATTTATGAACATTTGACTGTGTGTGGGAGCTCAGATAGCTATTGTCCAATGTTCAATCGACGAGAGATGGTCAGAGCCTAAACACTATCAACAACGCACGTTTCGCCTGTCTAATTTTGCAGTGTAATCTAACCAGTCAGTTCATAAGTGATCAGTGGATAAAATCGAATTCAAATGCGTGATCCACTTCTTCAGAGATTATACTAAGTTCACACATGATAAGAGGTTAGGTAGACCACATTGAGCAAGTGAGGTCGAGTAAATAACCACACGTTGACCCTTTTGTTTTTCTCTACAAACAATGCATACGTATATTTCATGAAATTCAAGAGTTTCGACCAGTGAAATCTGTTGTTTGAAGGCGTGCACGGCAAACCAATATACAGTTCATTAGAATCACAGATGTTGGCACTGAATGTTCTAAATCTCTTACTGACACGAATATTTCATCAGCTAAACAATGACTTGATTTACAGGTAACACCCAACGAACAAAATGGAAATGTTTAAGAATGCAGGTAGTGAGTGGAAGAATTTTCGACTTAAAACTTTGCGATAAATGATCATCCAGTTTTTTCCTTTACCTTAGCAGGCGGGTCATAGGTAAAATGATAGTTCCTAACCCCACTCTTAGTATTGTTTGGGAAATCACCAGACTAAACAAGAGTAGAGATAAAAAACATGAGACAATAAAAATACAGTTCTACCATTCCAAATCTTTCAAACTCACAATTGTGGTGCATAATTCTTCAAATTTTTCCTCATATGGATATTTCCCGGAGAAGTCAATATAACGACTCTCGCCTATCATGAAACCCAGCCAACCACTTGGAACAAACTTCGACTCGACACGAAGAAAAATAGTTGGTTTATTTAGTTTTCGAGTGTATTCAGCTTCTTTAAAATGAAGTGTGGTATAATATTAAAACAACACTGATAGTTTACCATGTGCTACAACTATTCGCTCATATCTGGTCAAAATATTATCCAATAAGTGGTCATAAATGCTTTCCAGTAGTATCTTCACGCTTTTGACAGATTTTAATCAGCTGACAACACTTTTCAGATACGAAGAAGGGAATTCCACTTCATAGTCTACGACTTGTGTGATGACGTCAATTTTTAACAAAGTCAGTTTCATGTAGAAATCAACAACCATTATTGGTTAATTCAACTCAATTTATCGGCTGCCTCTAGTTTGATATTTCATGGATTGTTGACGCAGAAGCTGACAGACACCACCCACGGTACTGTAACAGCACCAAATAAGGTGCAAAGCTACGGCTCAAAAGACTGTTCTGGAATGTCATTCGAAGTTCACTTGTAAACCATGGTGGACATTGATCTGGCACACACAAAAGACAGAACTCTATATCTATTTTCAAAGCAAACAGTTCGGAAGTGTGTCAACTAGTTTCAAGTAAACTGGCACAATAGATCCTGTGTTTCCTACCAAATTAGGAGAGTTAGGAGAATCTATTTCCAACGAACTGGGTCTACATGTCTAATGATCAGTACATTTTCGCCGCGCCTCTTTCAAGCAATCAAAGATGGTAAAATTCACAAACGGATCAGGCAATTTTTTAGTTAGATAATCTTGTATATTCTATAAATATCCTATGAAATTCTTGCATGAAACTGTATGGACATTTGTTCGAGCTGTTGTCTTGAAACATATATTGGATCTAATCACTCACAAAATGTTAGAAGTGGAAAAGTATGATAATGTTAAAAACATGGAAATCAATATTGACTTTAGTTTCGAGTTATATATTTGTGCATTGTTGGTACAATGGGAAATATGCAGGACTGAAGGATTCGCACTCAATCCTCTAAGTTTGCGAATCTTTCAAAATGTACGTTACATACGAGAGTACCAGCAATAAAACCACGTACATTTAGACACTATTCACTGTCAGAGAGACTCTTTCCGATGAAACAACACTGATAATCTACACGACACCTAGGCTTGCATCACTATGGAACGTCGATGTATATCGGAATCCATAAACATGCAGCTGATGGTGATGATGATCGATTTGCACAATAACGAAATCACATCATGGACAATATTATTTGCGCAAAATAACTAGTGATAAACACATTTACTACTTACAATAGTCTACAACGGATTAAAATAAATCGAGTACAGAATTTACAGTTTTTATAAAACTCTTACGAGTAAACAAGAACTTCTAAACTAGAAATAGGACCATGCACATGGAACAACTTATGTATGTGCATTTTACACCAGGTGGTTGAGAATAACCTGGTAGATGTTAGGAACACTAACGATGTTACACTGTTCTCATTTCATGGAAATAGTAAAAATTGACAGTCAGACAGATAGATAGATAGAACCTTTTTTGGATTTATGCATTCAATGTGCTGCTCTGATGTAAGCATCAATACCTATAGATGGTGAGTTCCTACTAATCTGGAAAATTTGTTTGGTAATCTTACTACTTTAGCCGAGTGTGAAGTAGGAAGAGAAGAAGATAGAAGAATAATTAAATATGGTTGTATCTATTTAGCCAAGTATGAACTCTCGATACTTACCAACTAACACTATAATTAAATTGAGGTGAAATATGCGTTTGTTCTGGTGAATTAGAACATATTATATGGCATTTCCATTTGGGTGTCAATGTGACTTATGATGGTTGAAATATGTTTGTTCTACGTACCGGGATGATATCCATCTATGTAAGTGCGGGTTGGTGACTAAATCGAAGGTATTATAGGACCATAATGCAGTATCAATTTAAGAAGCTTCTTCCTTTCTAATTATCTTCCTGATGAATCGCAATTAAGTTTCTCTGTTGTATATTTATACCAAGACCTCAATAATGATGGTGATTAAATAGAAAGTAGCATGGGATCATTTTTTAATTAATTTTAACAGTATAACTTCGATTTCAACCGACTAAACCAATTCTCAATGCTATAAAACATCTTAATGTAAATTGTTCATTGTTTAATAAGTTAGTTTTTCGTTTACGCGTTAAGAGATCTTTAAAAATAAGACTGCTTTACGAGTGATGAATGGTTGTTAGCAATGAGATCCAGGACGCGTGTTTCGTCCTATCCGGGGCTCATCAGATGGACGTACGATGGTGCTTGGAGCGAACGGTGGTAGGTTCGAATCGCAGAATGAACATCAACTCTGAGATGCAGGAACATGTGTTTGACGAGTCCCAAATAGAACGAAACGCGCGTCTTGGATTCTACTGCCAGTCACCATCCATCTTTGCTCATAATACTTGTGACTTAAGGAAGTATCTAGGCAATCTGCACAGGATGCACATATGCCCATAAGAGACTGACCAATTGCAGTCCTAAACACCCATGGGATGATTCAAGTAAGCTATATCAAGTGATAGGTATCATGTTTAAATGTTAATGGGAATAAGAGTATTGAAAAGGAAATACTTTTATCTGATCCATCTCAAGTATAGTGAAACGACTCAAAATGCATAAGCCAATTAGTGAAAAGAATACAAGCAGTGCTCAAGCAAAATAATATCAATACATTGATTCTTTTGAGTCATCCATATAGCTATGAAGATCGAATAAAAAGAGTAAGGTCCAGGCACAAAGCTAGCTACGGAAAAAATGGCCTATGGAAACTCTTTATACAACAAAAAAAATGAGTAGGCGAAATTTAATTATACAACAGTCGCAAACAATCAAGAAACTTTTAAAGAAGAATTTTAAAGCTTACAGACTCAAAATAATTACATCATTTTATACAGATGAATCCGGAGACTAGTCAGTCTGAATGCAGAATGTATGTCGTAAATAGTTATCAAAAAATAGTCAAAAGTCTCAGTTCAATTAAAAGGGTAAGTGACAAGGCGATATTAACCGATCTGTTCATATGTCTCAAGCTCCATGACCGAAACAGATACATTTGTACAGATAATATATATAAACAATAAGTAATTTTTTAGGATATAGAAATCACTCATGTACATACCTGCTCTAGTATTTGCACTATGTTGGTATGATTTAGAAAAAAGTATTAATACAATTGCAGCATTTTGCACAGCGTTTGCCATTGCATCTAAAATCTTAACATCTTGAACCATGTGATCTTTGTCAATCCAAATCTGAGAAAATAGACCGAGATAAAGATTATTGATGAGAATACAAACATATGTCATAAAACGTTGAAAGAAATTCATAGACAATGTATACATCACGTACTAAAAACTATATGCAACCATACGATAAATGCGATTAACCCGAAATTGCGTGTAAATTCCTTTCGAGAAATGTCTTAATTGGTATCAATACCAAGGTTGGACTTTATAGTTCCAAATAAATTGAGTATTGGGTAGAAAGTTAATAGTAAATATATTTTTCGCCATATCCCAATGTTATTTGTTCAAGCACATAAGCATTGGTACAAAGGGGTACCGAAAACATATGCATCACACAAGTCACTTGATTTGTGTATGATCTGGGATACTGCCCGGGTGCCCAAACCGAAGCAGGTGCTTTTCCTACGAGGCCACATCCTGAGCCTTTGACCTAAAGGTCCAATCCACAAGGCACTGGAGCAACGTAAGGAGATGCAGTCCCATGGTAATCGGTGACCAACAATAGGTTCATACACCGTTTTTCCCCTTAGGATCCTGGAGCTCATGTACATCACTGGTTTGAAATCAGGGTTTCCCAACTCCCCTAGGTAGATCCTCCATGTCCACCAAACCGGCTAGAGCGCCGGACATTCACTTACCGTCCTCTTAATTTCGCAAAGAACAACCCCGCCGCGAGAAGGCAGTGAGTAGGACTTCTCTGGCAGTGGTTGTATGCATGTGGCAATGTGAGAGCAATTAGAAAGGGAGAGCCGACTCTCCCCACTCTCGGCCGTACCAGAGCATTTTGGGACAATATATCCCGTTGAGTAGGAAAATTATATTTGTGACGTTTCGTGACTTGATATGAGCCACTTTTTCAGAGTAAATAAGTAATAAGTCAGAAATACAAGTTTTCTACTCATTGGGATATAATAAAAATATATTTATTATGTCTTAATTAGTGTTTATGATATAATAGCTGTTCAAAGAGGAAATCAACCAACTATCTGAATGTACACAAGTAAAAAGTGTTTTTCTGAATTATCATGAAAATTTGGTTATAGTGAAATGGTTGGCGCGTAAGAGGTGTCTGAAAATATATTCAAAACCCTAGATTAACTGAAATGAGCTTCAACATAAAAGCAAATGAGAATTACGTCTCATCAAGTATTGCCTATGCGAAAATATGACGAATTATGCTAATATCCAGAAGCAAATAGTTCGAATAGTCGTCCCATTGTTACATGTTTGAATATTATCGTATTGACTGAATACCAAAACTAGGTGTAGCCTCACGTTATTTAAAATTAGTGAGGAATGCACTTCAAAATATGCTCTTTGTCAGTTGGTATACACCATGAATGTGTGAACATTGTGAAAGCCGAAATCTAGAACGATAGTGTACGTAATTAAATTGTTACTTATCAAATCGATACAGCAAAGGTAGATTCAACAACAACGATACGAACACAATTGAAATGAATAACCGTGAAAATATCATGAGAAGAAAAAAAATCAATCACAAGGTAGAGTAAACAGTGAAATGGTCAGATGTTTAATCAGTCAGGTGTGACACAATCAAAACTAGGGATGGATACAGACTAGTTTTGAATTTACTTTAAATTATGGGAGTGAAACAACCTAATACTTCTCATGTTCTAACTTATAAATTAAAACCGAATACCACACATAGAATAACAACTTTGAATGAAACACCTTATTTATTTAAAGCACACATAGATTATGTCTGAATTAATCGAAAGAAAGAACTTGTGGTGATTTCTTACTGAACCACATACTAAAGGACTACGTCAAACTAATAAACGTTTTTAGCTCGGACATCATTAGCTGAAATATAGTTTACGGCAAACTTTTATTGAGATTTATCACCTAAAGTGGTATTCACAATCGCTTTCCAAGTTTTCCATTTTTACTTGACGTCGTTATAGACATGTTCAGAAATGTGACTTATCACCTGACATTTTAGGAGCGGATTTCCCACTTGGAAACGCTTAATGACTTAGAGTATGCAGATGGTGTAGTCCTATTTGGTATATATATATACGCATAACAAATAAAATACCTTGATTTCTTCATTTTCCAAGCTTTCTTTAATTTTAAGTGCTATTTTGTCATCGTTATGACTGTAGCTTATCATAATATGACCATCCAGATAGTAGGGATTTCCTTCTTCTACCACGATAGATGGTTTGTTTTCTATAAAATAATAATTCAAATACACATGGTTAGCAAATTCTATTCTGATAAAATCCCGCTGTAAAATTGTGACAATTCCCCCCCACTCCACTGAAAAAATTTTTCCACCCCCAAATTACAATATTTTTCATCCCCTGTTTCGTCCAATGAAATGGCTAGTTGTAAAATTCGTTTTAATTGGTTAGTTATGTCTTGAAAATTGTTATAAAATATCAGTACCTGTCGACGAAGTACATTTTAATCGTCATTATGGAGGAGAGTAACGTGCCAAGTACAAGCACTGATGTTTCTCACGTCACGGAAATGGAGGAAGTCTTTTTGACAACCTTGTTTCTAGTTGCGTTTTCATCAGTTGAAGCGTTAAAGGCCGCTTTCGCAACTTTCGAAAGATCGACTTACAGTCATTATGTAGTGAGAGATTCGCATACGGGCAGACATGAGAATCCGTATATTAAATTTGCAGCTCATTATATTTCTCTCGAATATATACCTTCATAACAGAATCCATGACGATGATGTACCCACCGGTTCTCTCCTTAGCTTCGCATGAAGATAACCGAACCAACAAAGTCTTTTATTTTCTGTTCTGATGTAGCATTTTCAAGAGACTATACAAACTTCATTCTAAAATAACCATGTAGAATGAGCGCTGCATAAACAATATCACATATTGGTGAATTCGAAGTCCCACGATCACAACACACGAACTTCATAATTACAAACTTGAATTCTTATCCCTTGATAAGGAGTAAAACTTATTGCTAATACCATCCTCAATGTTTAGGTAATTTACCGTAAATCGTCCTCTACTATGACCAAAACTGATCAGTTTAATAAGTAGATAACAAATTTGCCTTCCCTTCGTCTGTGAATTTAGTCAATTTAGTTAATACGGTCTTTACATTAGGGAAAAAATTTCCTAGTTCCAACTACCATGAAAGGTAAACGTAGTTAATCATATCAGTGTCAAAAAGACTTTACGGCAGTTAAGAACTCCCTAAAACTTGTCAAAGTAGGAGGATATTCTTAGTAATAATTTGGGTTGGTGAATAACTGTCTTAAGTGATCTAACATATCCTATTATCTAGTGAACCGAATGTACTCACGTTGGTTGGATTATATTTCCTTATTCAGACAACTGTATACTTAATGTCTTACTTTGATCACAATGTGAAACTGAAACATGTATAGAAAGTATGCATTGTGACTAACCTGTTAAACCATGAACACCATTTTTCTACATTAACTTCTAACATTTTATCCCCTAGACCAGTCAGCTGTAAATGGGTCAAAAAATATCTAGTTTATTCATAAGATGTGTAATTCTTATTCATTCAATTTTGTGAAGTTCTAAGTAACTGTAATCATGTGAATCAACAAGATCCAAAATCTCAAAGCAATAAGTCGGAGAGTGTTTCTGAGATATTTCGACAGTACTTAATATTATGGTTAATTGTGAAAGGATTAGATGGACATTAACAGGTACTTGTCAACTAGTCAGTTAAGAACATTATTGAACCTGGAGGTGTCCATAGAGAAGTACTTATTATCAGGCATAGTAATATATCATGTAGGAAACTTTCCATTTTATTTCCTAACACCCAACTAATTAAAAAAATGAAATGACCGGAAGATTAAAAAATTCACCAAAGTAAACTGTTAAGGTGTACGGTATAAATTTAACTACAGCTCCTTAGAGGGGACTGGGATAAAATAGTGTATTGATAGTACAGTCATATTCTCTATGCTTAATAAGATTTCATTATTTTATCTATTGTTATTTGATATTCCTTAGACTGGTGTATGAGATAAATCCAATAATCCTGCTTTTTATATGCGATATAAAAGCATGAATAAAAGTGACTGAATTAATGTTTTCACATACCACTTTGGTCATCACCGATATCAGGTTCAGTTGGATATTGAAGTAAGAATTCATCAATACTAGCACCTTCAAAATATGTTCGAACTTTTTCTTCCAATTCAGTTATGTTGCTGCGATATGCTTCAGCTTGTGACAATATTTCTTGGGTGGCATCAATAACTGGAACTTTTGATGATAAAATATGTATAGTAGTTGATATTTCATTTGTGCCGTATGAATGAGAATCAGATAAGGATGTCAAGTGACGTACAATATCACGATTGCCAAATTCAATTCTGTTTTCACCGTTTAGAGCCAAAAGACGGAGCACTATTATTTGAAAAAAAGTACCAATTCATACGCTTCATTCTGAATTTGTAACAAAAAGACACTGATACGACACAGAGTAAGCGCATTTGAAATTTTGACCAGTAGTAATTTATTCAGATTGACTGGTATAGTGAAAGTTCGGAGGTAAATAGTTTGGTTGAAACGCTTGTAGTTTTACGATGTAAAACGATATTGAAAACTAGAAACATGAGGACTTATTAGTCCTCTGTAGTAGTAAGTCTTATTATTAACAATGACATAATGTGTTGGTAGTTTTAGTGACTGTATACTTTATTGTCTACATTTATCAATTATTTGTCTTATGAAAAAAAAACAAATTTCTTCAGGTAAGTTTGACCCATATTTGATAAGAAACAATAACAGTTATATTATCGATTAGTCCAAAGTATTCAATTTTGATTATTGACCATATAAGTAAACCAGACATAACTCGTAATTTTTGATTAGTGGTTGAATTGTTTGTGGATTTACGGCTTGGGAATAATAAATGTCATTAAATGCAGCCTTACCCTCTTCCATCAATCGAATAACATCGGTCTTTGTACAGTGGTAAGTAACTAGGTTCCAGAGGTTATAAAAGACCGGTATATAAATGTTTTCGTCAGGTTTCAACGATATTACTACATTCATTGAACTGAAAGGCGACAGTTTGGAAATTCTCTCAATTTCCCAAAACCTTCAATTTTTTTTTACTTTTTTCCACCGAATTCAAGTTTTATAATTCAACCATCTGGTTTATATCACATCAAACAACTGTAACAACCTCTAATAAACAAATCAATTAAATGGTTAAAGTGAAAGCTGTCCGACCAGTTCATTACCGTATTGTTGGTAGCACTCCAGCAAAACAAATCAGTGAAAAGTCCTGTATCATTTCACTTAACTGGAGTAAAGCTTTGAGGTGTCTTATCATTAGTACCTTTCAGTTGACATACCTTACACCACTAAATACTAAAGAAGCGGCTAACTTGAACCTATTAATCTTAAATTGTCTTTAAAATCACCAATTGAGTTGAAGTGATTAAAGAATTCACTATCAGTTAAACCACATATATCTTAATATTTTCATGATTAATACCATCGACATAATTTCAAATGTGACTGTTCAGCCCACATTTATAACTTACTGATGATATAAACGGTTTATTATCTCTAATGTTATAGGGTTTATAACCAATATACACAAGTGTTTCAACGTTAGATATACGTGGCGATCAACTAGCGTTAAGTATTACACAACTGTAGTTCACATTCATTAAAAAACTGAATTATATCATTAAAATCCCCGGACAGTCAGACTGAGTTCCCAGTATCGATATCACACAATTTCACGAGGTTCAGGTACGAATAAGAAAGCACCAATAAGTACACTCGCCACAGCAATCTTTTTTAATCAATGCATATTACATTGTGTCTGTTTTAGAAACAAAATATTAGAATGAAGTATGAAGAATGTAAGATCCAGTTAAAACACATTTATATCTAAGACTAGTTAGAAAAGAATTGGGTATAAATAGAAGCGATTATACAATCAGATTAATATATATTATTCCAAAAATGAATCAAATAAAGTACACTTGTTATACTAACAATAAAAACTTTAGTGAATAGAAATAAATCATAGTAGATTTGATATAGAGCTAGCAGTAAAATCCAGGATATAGATTTCATCCTATCTGGGACTCAGATTTACTTGTATCCCAGTGTTAATGTCTTTACAGAGAATTGAACCCAGTACCTGTCGCTAGAATCCCACTCTATTTCATTTTACATTTGATTTTCATCGCAGAAAATCACTTTCCATACCCCGTACTTTTGATCAATATAAAATCACTAAAATATTTGGAGGAATGATAACGCAGCATTTATTTGAAAATGACAATTGTCTACAAATAATCTACCTTTATTGAGAATAGAGGCATCAAAGAAATGACCTTTTCTTCCTCCAATAACAGTATAATGGAACTGTTGCATGAACAATTCAATGTACTCTGCTTTTAGATAAAGTTGACTGATATCAGTGTAGGTAAACGCTAAAAAAATGTTTATGGCCAACTGGAAAATAAATATTAACTGGAAACAATGCCACAAACTTTAATTGTTGGATCAGGGCAAGTATAGCGTGTTAAAATATTACGTAGACCATAATCTCTAAGTATTTTTGTTAGGCAACTATATTCATACGCCAATGCAGTATTTAACGAACAAATAATTAGAGTTGTTAGTTGAAGTACAGCCTAATATATCATATTTTAAGAATAAAGTGATTCAAACCTCAGACATTTTCATAGCACTGATGATATGTAAGATACGCCGTACTTCCGTCAAATATATATCAGATTTGATCAGTTTCTGTGTGAAGCTTATGCTGACGATCATATAATTAGTCAATGATTGTTGAAAATCCGTCAGCTTGAGGACCCATTTTTCACAAGGGAGTGGATTGAATGTAGAATAACTTAATGGAATAGCCATTCTTCCTAATTCACGATAAACAGATATAAGGTTGTCAAAAACCGATAACCTTGACAATATATCTACCGCAACCTTTGTACGATACTCTGTTATATTTGCTGGTGCGTCTTCAGGGCTGAAACTATTCACAAATGATTTTAATGATTCATCGAATTCTGACGTAGCATATTTTTTCGAATTAGCAAGTATAATCAACTGCTTTATGTGCTTTGATGTTGCTTCATATAATTCGCCGAAATTGTTCTTACTCATTTACGGTTATTTATCTGAAGTAAAATGGCAACAAAAAGTTCATTAAGGAAAGTGAACAGAACAAAATTAAGATAATAATTTGATTCTACTCATTAGATTTATTCCAAAATAGCAAAAAAACGCTTGTTCTATTATTATCAAACAAGCATTTTAAACGGTAACCAAATTTGTTAACACTGTATTCCCTACAATGAACATTTACGACTCACTTTTCTTCATTCTATACGAATGGATGTTTAAGAATCATAACAAGGAAGACGTGCTGTTGTATTCACGTAACACTGTCGCTTCCGACAAGAACAAAAATGCAAAAGACAGTTATTGATACTGAAATCAGCTTAGTAGATAAGTCCAGTTCACTTGACAAATCTATGGTTACAAGAACCTTGGTATCTTAAATCAGTTAAATATAAATAGAGCTTCGATTACCAGCTGATGTAACATGGATCATACAGCCGTTTTGTTTCTGTGTGAATAGAAAAACTGATTACTGTAATAAACTTACATGTTCCAGTTGAAGGGAGCAGATAGCAAAGGAATTTTATTAATACTCTTATTTTACTCCGACTAATTATTGTTGTACATTCTGTCTTATATGTGCTATTTAAAGTTACAGAGTAGTTGCTCATAGAAGTGTCCTTTATTATGAAACTTGATTGGCCCTAGAAAACCAATCATGGCGTTTAAACTTGCGTCTTCAGCGTCCACAACTTAACGCGAATCAGACAAGCAGATTCATAGGGGGCTGAAAGAAATATAACCAATTATTTGCGGTTCACCAGCGACCGAAATTCCAACGAAACGATAAACTGTAAGTCTTTCTGAAGATCTCAAAAACATATTTCAGGTATGCTAACCCAAGAAATCCACAATATTGATGTATGAAACGGTGTCTTTTACATTAAGTGCTAGAAATGAAACTCCACTAAACTACTGGATCCCTGTTAGAAACTTGGTTCCTGTTCGGTAACGCAGTAATCGGTTAAAATCGGCGTTTTTTCTTCCTATTTTTAGGTGTTTTCATAACCCTTAAAGTCTACGAAGTACAGCCTAATTAACAACAAATGAGTCTCCAGTTATATTATTAGAACTTTGGATTTGAAGACTTTTGACCGAATTCAACTGGTTTGTAACATATAGTCTCAAAGGCGCCAATTGCATCGACCTAGCTAGCAGAGACAACAATCTGGAAAGCGTATATTAGCCCTGGAAATGGGAACTAATTGGTTATTCCAGGCTATGTTGGTTTACTGAAAGGGCGTTAACGAGTGCTAAAAACACCAGCCACTGAGCGATTGGTTGTAGAATTGTGAATAGCGTCATAGTAAATTAATAGCTTCAAAGAACTAGTAAAGTTGAAATATGTATGTGTCATGATTATATAATATTCCACCCTTCTACAAGGTAATGAAAAGAGATTGAGCAGAAATAAGTGCTGTAGTGAGAACAACAGTTTCAATCTAGCGTTTCGCCGATGGTGTGAAATCGACTTCATATTATGCCAACGTGTTACTCCCTTACTCCATGACTTACGTCTCCGAACAAACGCCCTGTCAATCACATGAATCAACAGATCCTGCACTAAGACAATATAACCTTTTCTATCGACGATCGACAACGGTTTCTGTGTTTAGTGAAAATTAGGTCATTCAACACGTACCACCTCCCGATAGGGAGGGAAGTTTCGAAACTTCACCAGCAGCACTCTTTGGTAAACAGAGTGTCACTTTTTCTCTCGAAATATTCTTCCTAAAAAAGTCCTGTAAAATTCCGCCGTTTCCTTTCACCTAAAATAGATATTAAAGGATAATTCGTTTTGATGCAGAACCAAGGATATGGTCATTTTTATGTCGAACAAATCCGAATCTGTGAGGATACGGACGTTAATGTCGAGAATTTCATCGATACTTTTCCTAGATATTTCTCTCAAAATATGATTCACGGCCCCACAACTATAGTGAAAATTATTAAAACTAAATAATGAAGGTACTTAAAACTTATTAAAGGGTTTGTCACAGCTTGAATAACCGTGACATCTTTAAGGGTTTGGTAGTTTTCTCCAAAGTTTGGGAAATAACCCCAAAGTGTCATAATATTTTGTGGAAATATTAGTAGGAACCCAAAATTTCCTCAGACATATGTCCCCAAAATATTTTAGGGATTTTCCCCAGATCTGTGCAAAACTATAGCAATTTGATTATAAATTTGCCGATGTATTTGCTTGTATATAAATATTTGCCTCTCAGCTTCGAAATCTGAGCTATCTGCTAATAAACTGTAGTTCCAGCTTCTCATTGCCTTTTGATTTCAAACAACGTTGAGGTTTATATATATATATATAACCATTATTATAATAATGGTTATAAGGGTGATTGATTAACGAAACAAAGCCACTACACTGGCCTCATATACAGCTATAGAATTAATTGGTTTTAGGTTTAATAGGAGTCGATTGCGCACCATAAAGAACCATAAACTACGTGAAACCAAGAAAAAGAACTGATACTTACCACGCTTTTTTAGATATCGAGGGCCCGTGTCATTATTGACTAGTTTAAACTGCTCAAGGTCTTTCTCACCAGGATTTTATCTTTCCCAAATTCGTAGATATGAAATCGCAACACTTGAGTGTACAGTAGGCTAATTTTCGCAAATACAACGAAATACGAGTAAATAATTGAAAAGAAAAATGGAAAGTAATAATACTTGTAGTGTGGTTTTCAGATGAACAAATGTTATTGGATGAAATTGAAGCTTTCGTTTAGCTAGCTTGAGTCTCAGTTTAAATTTCAGCTACCGAATAACAGAAGGCGAAGTGGTCTGTGCTAGCTCTGTTAATGGAATTTCTTAGTTAATCGAACTTTCTATAGAATGTGTCGGTAGACGGTGCTTTATTCACATGTTAAGGTAAGAGCTTCACCCATAAATGATCCTGTTAAAAGGTCGGCAGTCAGATGACAAATGGTTTGTTCTGGGCATGCGAAAGTCTTTATTGTGTTCTCGACAGTGTTTTTCATTGTAAGACAAGGAAAACGAGGGTATGTCAGATACAAAATTATTATTATTACCACGTTTTTCTAGTAACGTCGTTTATGCTGAATAGTCATCAGTGCGGTCATAGTACTCGAGTACGACAGAGTGGTGATACACAGTAGTTAGTATCATGAGGTGTGACTTCAAAGCTAGCTGGTTGGTCACGCCATTTCCGTTTCACTCAAGCAAACCCCGAATCATTCAACAAAGACAATTGACGTTGGTGATCTACAGTCTCAAAACTGTCCACTAACCACATTTTTCCAGCCAGACAACCTAAAGCTAACACGTACTGATTTTTCTGACGTCCAAATACAAAATTCATTATCCACATACGCTACCCTTGATAGGGATTAATTTGGATAACATTCTGTTATACGGAACTTTGTCAAAGGCAATAGCGAAGTCCATGAAGGCTACATCGAAAAGCAGCTTTCGACAATGAAGCGCGCATTAACCTTCTCGAGCTAATAATAAGTTCATGAATAACCTGTCCTAAAACTGTGTTGCTTCTCGGAAAAGATCATATTTTCACTTCACTACCTAAACAACTCTTTGCGAACAGCCTTCCATAAAGCCCAAACAATCACATTTGTCCAGCTTACGATATTATATTTGTCAGGTTTATATTCTCTACCTGTTTGAAAGGTAGAGCTTAGCATGATGTTCTTCTAGTAGCTTCATAATTTACTTTGAGTCATAGAAAGAGTAAAACATGTACTGGGAGATTTGAGATGAAGTCTGACAGTGTTTTTAGTAATGTAGGATGCATTCACTTGGTAATATATATTTAACTATATCCAATTTATTCGGTGTACCAAGAACAGCCTGTTCTTTACTGGTCACAATATCTAGGGTGTGATAAAAAGTGGTCATAGTACTTAGGAGGAGGTCGTCTTTATGTTAAGTTCTCTAGTTCATTAACGCAGAATACAATCTACAACTACGCACTCGAACGTGTGGAAAACCACAGTCACAAATCAGAAGACAAGAAAACAGGAGGAATTATTATCGGATACGAATCAAAAATGTACAGGAAAACATGTGTATTTATAGTTATTAGCGTTGGTTGTATTATCATTATAATTCAGCCCATCCGCAAAGGAGCATGTTAAACGTACGTCCAGTCGTATCATGCCACGCTGATATTCTAGAAAGCTCCATTATGCTCTGATTGAATGAAAACCCTTCGACTCCTTTGGGGCCTCTGGAAGCCCTGTAGTACTTTCCGAAGGCTGCCCCAGCACTTTAATGTACATTGTTTGCCTAAGAAGTCTGTAAATATATGAACTTCACCGTCACCAACATCTAGAGTTGATGTCCATGTATTTGATACGAATAGAAATAACAGAAATATTCGTAAGGCAGTATAATATATATAATATATATAATATAAGCTCCTTCCGGAGTCCTTCCTGTGGCTACTGCCGGTTGCAAGCCCGGATAAAGGAGGAGGGTTGGGCATGGGGTTAGCGACAGAATCCCACAGAAAACGCACTCGCTAAAAAACGCTGACCATAAAAAAATCATCCAAACGATCTAAACTCTGCCCTGGGAATCAGAAGGTCTTCATTTAGAAGAGTTATGACGCCTCATGATGAAAGCCGCGTTCCCTCGGAAGTCACGAGGCCGATTCCCATTCTGACAACCAGAGCAACCATTTATTTAGGTACATAGAATGCTCGTACAATATGGGACACCGGGAGAGCCTTCCAAATTGCTGCAGAAATGAGAAGATACAACCTAGAGGTACTTGGGATCAGTGAAACACATTGGACACAAGTTGGACAACAACGACTAACTACAGGAGAGCTCCTGTTATACTCCGGCCATGAAGAAAATGCCCCACATACACAGGGAGTTGCATTGGTGCTGTCCAAACAAGCACAAAATGCGCTTATAGGATCGGAATCTCATGGACTAAGGACCATCAAAGCCTCGTTCAAAACAAAGAAAGAGGGCATTTCAATGAACATCATCCAATGCTATGCGCCTACCAACGACTACAATGAAGAAGCTAAAGATCAATTCTACAATAGGCTGCAGTTAATCATCGAGAAGTACCCAGGAAAGGACCTGACCATTCTGATGGGAGATTTCAATGCCAAGGTTGGAACGGACAACACTGGATATGAAGACATCATGGGACGACACGGACTGGGAGAAAGGAACGAAAATGGTGAGAGATTTGCAAACCTATGTGCCTTAAATAGACTGGTCATAGGCGGCACCATATTCCCACATAAACACGTACACAAAACCACATGGACTTCACCGAATCATTCTACACAAAACCAAATCGACCATATCTGCATCAACAAAAAGTTCAGGAGGACAATGGAGAATGTGAGAACCAGGAGAGGCGCTGATATAGCATCAGATCACCACTTGCTGGTCGCCAAGATGAAATTGAAACTCGAGTAGTACCGAATAACGGGGCGGACAATATCACAAAAGTTTAGGTGTTCAGGGCCACAAAAAGCACCATCACAAGGAGTGGACAACCATTAACACACTAGATAGAAAGGAGGAAAAAGAAGGCAGCAATCAATACCAGCCGAACAAGAGCAGAAAAAGCAGAGACACAAGCTGAATAGACAGAAGTAAACAAGCAAGTGAAGAGGAGCATCAGAATTGACAAACGTAAATATGTGGAAGATTTAGCAATGACGGCAGAAAAGGCTGCTAGAGAAGGAAACATGAGACAATTGTATGACATAACAAAGAAACTCTCTAAGAATCGCCGCAAACCAGAACGACCAGTGAAAAGCAAGGAAGGCGAGGTAATCACCAACATTGAAGAGCAACGAAACAGGTGGGTAGAACACTTCAAAGAACTCTTGAATCGACCAGCCCCACTGAACCCACCCAACATCGAAGCAGCACCCACGGACCTCCCAATTAATGTTGGCCCACCAACAATTGAAGAAATCAGCATGGCCACCAGACAAATCAAGAGTGGCAAAGAAGCAGGGCCACATAACATTCCAGCAGAGGCACTAAAAGCAGACGTAGCGGTAACTGCAGGGATACTCCACATTCTCTTCAATAAGATTTGGGATGAGGAACAAGTACCAACAGACTGGAAAGAAGGACTTCTGATCAAAATACCGAAGAAAGGCGATCTCAGCAAGTGTGATAACTACAGGGGCATCACTCTTCTCTCAATACCGGGAAAAGTCTTCAACAGGGTATTGTTAAACAGGATGAAGGACTGCGTAGACGCCCAACTTCGTGACCAACAGGCAGGATTCCGTAAGGATAGATCGTGTACAGACCAAATCGCAACTCTACGGATCATTGTGGAACAATCAATTGAATGGAATTCATCACTCTACATCAACTTCATTGACTACGAAAAGGCATTTGATAGCGTGGACAGAACAACACTATGGAAACTTCTTCGGTACTACGGCATGCCTCATACAGAATTCCTATGATGGATTACACTGCAAAATTGTGCATGCAGGATAGCTGACAGACTCGTTCGAAGTAAAGACCGGTGTTAGGCAAGGTTGCTTACTCTCACCCTTTCTCTTTCTCCTGGTGATCGACTGGATCATGAAGACGTCAACATCTGAAGGGAAACACGGGATACAATGGACATCTAGGATGCAGTTGGACGATCTAGACTTCACAGATGATCTGGCCCTTCTATCCCAAACGCAATAACAAATGCAGGAGAAGATGATCAGTGTGGCAGCAGCCTCACAGGCAGTAGGTCACAATATACACAAAGGGAAAAGCAGGATTCTCCGATACAACACAGCATGCACCAATCCAATCACAATTGACGGAGAAGATTTGGAAGATGTAAAAACCTTTACGTATTTGGGCAGCATCATTGATGAACAGGGTGGATCTGATGCAGATGTGAAGGCGCGGATCGGCAAAGCAATAGCAGCATATTTACAACTGAGGAACATCTGGAACTCAAAGCAACTGTCAACCAACACCAAGGTCAGGATTTTCAATACAAATGTCAAGGTAGTTCTACTGTATGGGGCAGAAACCTGGAGAACCACGAAAGCCATCATCCAGAAAATACAGGTGTTTATTAACAATTGTCTACGCAAAATACTTCAGATCCATTGGCCGGACACTATTAGCAACAACGTACTGTGGGAGAGAACAAAGCAGATCCCAGCGGAGGAAGAAATCAGGAAGAAGCTCTGGAAGTGGACAGGACACACATTGAGGAAAGCACCCAACTGCGTCACAAGACAAGTCCTCACGTGGAATCCTCAAGGCCAAAGGAAAAGAGGAAGACCAAAGAACACATTACGCCGAGAAATGGAGATAGACATGAGAAAAATGAACAAGAATTGGATGGAACTAGAAAAGAAGGCCCATGACAGAGTGGGTTGGAGAATGCTGGTCGGCGGCCTATGCTCCATTGGGAGTAATAAGCGTAATTAATTAATTAATTAATTAAGTAAGTAAGTACAATATAGTGATTTTAGTTTTCGGTAACACGCCAAGTTTGTTTTTGAATAGCTTCAAGGAAGT